TTTTTATTTTTTTAGATAAAAAACGAGATTTGGTATAGTATATGACATAAATTAGGATTGATTGACGTATTCAATTATTTTTATCACTTCCTGTTTCACCGGAAATGACTACTTTTGATTTTTAAATGGCACCCTCTATTTTTTGTACTTTATTCTATAGAAAATCACACTCTAAATATAATGACATATCATATGTCAACTTTTGACATTTTCTTATATGATTTATTTGAAATTGTAACATGCGTTTCATATACAGGGTTGTCCGAACTGAATTCCGGAAACTTCAGCAGCATGTTCTGCTGATAAAAATAAGTAAAAAAGTTCGTATAAATGTATGTCCTAAAATGCTTAGTTTCGGAGATACAGGGTGTACAAATCTCATTTTTATATTCATTTTTTCCAATTAATTTCTGAAGTAATGTCAATATTTGGATGAAAATTGGTGTCTAGGAGTTTTTTGACATGAGAAATTTGATTTTGATGTCAATATGACTCCTATTTGTAGCGGGCGCCACCTACATGTGTTTTAACTCTTTTGAAAGGTAATAACTTTTCTTCCGTACCTGTATAAAACTACTGAGTGAAAAAATATTCATTTACGTGATTTTTTACGTAAAAAATGTCTCTTGGTAAAAATTGCTATGAGCAACCGTTCTCCAGATATTTAGAATATAAATAATCAATACATGTCATTATTGACAAAAAGTAAACATGTTGAGTAGATAGTTATTTGACTGAAATGATAAATTTGGGAAATTTTAATTTTTTTAAATTAATCAAATTTTTCTTCAAAAAAATTATGATAAGACGGTTTCTGTTGAACCTTTGGCACAAAAACATATCAAATTTATGATTTCAGTCTAATAACTATTTAGCCAACATGTTTAATTCATGTCAATGATGACAGGTACTGATAATTTCGATTCAACATATCTCGAGAACCATTACTCGTAGCGATTTTTACCAAGAGACCTTTTTTACGTAAAAAACGTTGCAAATGTATATTTTTTTACTCAGTAGATTTATACAGGTATGGACAAAAAGTTATTACTCTTCAAACCAATTAATAAATATGTAGGTGGCGCCCTCTACAAGTAGGAGTCATATTGATATCAAAATCAAATTTCTCATGTCAAAAAACTCCCTGACACCAATTTTCATCCAAATATTGACGTTACTTCAGAAATTATTTGGAAAAAATCAAAATAAAAATTATACTTTTACATCCTATATCTCCGAAACTAAGCATTTTAAGACATACATTTATACGAACTTTTTTACATATTTTTATTTGCAGAATATTGTGCCGAAGTTTCCGGAATACAGTTCCGACCACCCTGTATAACAACAATTTCACTCGAAATACCAAGTGTGTGTTACCAAATTATTCGTAAAAAATTCTTTGTCCAAATATGCTAATGAGCCATCCTCGTTCCATTTGAAAAAATTGAGATATGATTAAAAATACGATTTGGGCATCTTTTAACCGGAGCCATGACAAGGCACGAAAAATATTAGACGGTTAACTCTATTTTAAGTGAAAATGTGAAAAGTTGACATATGATATGTCATTCTATTTTCTATCGAATGAAGTAGAAAAATACCGAGAGTGCCGTTTATAAATCAAAAGTTGTAGTCATTTCCGGTGAAACAGGAACTGACCAAAATCAATTGAATACGTCAATCACTCCTAATTTGTCATATACTAACATTCCAAATTTGTTTTTTTTATCTGAAAAAATAAAAAGTTATAGGGGTGAGCCACTTTTGAGACATATATGATTTCAAATTATTTTTTTATTGAATAATTGGTTACAGTATTCCGAAAGGACGAATCCTATAAACAAGTATTATTCAGACTGTCAGTTTCCTCAATAAAAATTGTAGAGTGATAAATGGCGAATGAAAGGCGACTTTAGAGCGATTATTATGGGCAATATAACACCGGTAAAGAATAAGCTGACATTAACGATCTAGCTCGCATTAAAATGCCCATATACCGCGTGTCGCTGCACACAAATGGCAAATTGTTATGCTAAAAAGAAAACCGCTTGTTTAGCGAACGGTAAGTAGGCTAAAAAATCGAATTTGATAACTGTCAAAGTGAAGTAATAGAAGTTTATATGGCAAAAAGTATTACAAATTGAATTTGAATTATTAAAGCTTATTATTTCAAAGTCAGAATTAGTGTGGCGAAAGTGTGTTTTTATGGCCAAATCTTTTGTCCAACAGAAAGTCAAAATTTTTAACATTCAAAAAGGTCGCTTACTTTAAACATCGATGACCTAACAACTAATTTTGTACAATTTGAAATAATGCCAAATAAGGCTGTTGTAGAGAAAAAGCAATGGCAATTTTCACGATGTGACACACAGGGTAGGATTGTATAAAAAACGTTGAGGTATCAAAAAAAGTATCAAATATCACTTCTAGGTAGGTGTAGTGAACTTTTTAACTAAAAAATATGTCAAAAATCCTGTTGTTAAATAGCGGAAACTTATTTAGAAACACCCTGTAAAGTTATTCTCTCATTCAGGTCGGAGACGAATCCAACAAATCAGAGAATATTAAAATCGGCCCAGCCATTCTTGAGATATATGTATGTAAATGGTGTACTAACCCGACTTTGTTTTAATTATATATATTTACGACCACTAAGCACATAGGTATTGAATGTTTGCATTGTCGACTTTTTAAACATTTTAAAATCAGTGTCACATTATCTACCTTTCGTTCCGTCGCGCGTCGTCTATTTCCCACTAATTTCACGTCTATTCAGTCTATTAATTTCTCGTCTTAACAAAATCCAAACCAAATTAAGCCAATGTTAAATAGTATTTAAATCTCAGAAGAAAGTTGTCATTACTATCTCCACATTTTTGTTAATATCTCGGCGGTAATAAAGCACTTGGGTACGTATTAAATATAGTTTGAGGTGGTCAGGTGGCTGCCCTCTAGTGATGAGCGAGACGGGTCTTGGTCTTGCACAAAAAGCGATACTAGCTTTAGATGTACAAAACCAAGACCAGGGTTGGGTAGGTAGAAAATTTACATATTCTACCCTATTTTCTGCATATTAGTTTTAGTTGACCAACTAATCGTCTACATTTTGTACATGTCCAGATGTAGAAAATTTGTTTTGTATATTGAAAGTAGACTAGAAGAAATCTAGTGATACTAGAAGAAATCTTCCGTCAACTGGACTGAAGCAGCAAAAGATTAAAAATAGATGGAGAATATCTTAACTATCTAAGATTCGCTGATGACATATAGAATAATAATTGTCAGTAGTCCTGAAGAACCACAAGTACAAATTAATGAACTAAATACAGCCATCAATAAAGTGGGTCTCAAAATGAATTTATCAAAAACTAAAGTAATGTAGAACGAACTAATGGAAAGAAAAGACATTCTAATAAATTACACAACACTGGAAATACTAGAAGAATATATTATATATTTGGGACAACTGATACATAGCTCGGGATCTCTACTGCCATCAACAGAATTAAGTTAGCATGGAGTACTTATGGAAGAAATTCAATCATATTCAAATCTAAAATGCCACTCTATCTAAGAAAGAAAATATTGGACCAATGTGAACTACCAGTGATGATCTATGCGTGCGAAACCTGGATACTTAAAACGGATATCATAAGGAGATTGCAGGTCGCACAACGCTCAATGGAACGAAATATGCAGGGAATAACCAAGTGAGACCGTAAAAGAATAGAATGGATACGACAAAAGACCCAAGTAATAGGTGTCATCTACGGAGTCATATCCATCAAATGGCAATGGGCAGGACACCTGGCAAGAAGAACGGACAACAGATGGACCACAAAAATTACAACATGGTACCCACGAATAATTAAGAGGCCTAGAGGAAGACCGAACCTGAGATGGGACCATGATATTAGGAAATTAGCAGGGATAACTTCGGCCCGCATAGCCAACAATAGACAACAATGAGCTACAAAGAAAGTATGTGAGGGAAGCTACACCATAATTGGAAATGGTTGAATAAGCTTAAAATGATGATGATGATGATGATGATATTGAAAGTGTGGCGAGGCTGTATGTCAAACGTACAGCCTCACCACGAAAAGTATCATTTTTACTCCTAATAAAATAATATACTATTTTATATTGTCAATCACGTCGCAAAAATTAATACTTTTGTGACGTTCGAAAAAAAACCATTTTTTTTGAAGAAGATGCTTGCCTCTATTAGAAAAGTGCAAAAATCTATTAACGACTCGCAGGAGTCTTGCTCAAGACCAAGACTGGACCCTGTAAGATCAGAAGCGAGTCTTTTATTTTACTTTTTTTTCAAATAAACTGTTTCTTATTTTAATTCACTGATGATTTATTTACTTTGCCCACTTGTTTTTACAGCAATTTATACTTTGGCTATTTAAATCGCGATTTATATTGAGAAATTAATTGATTTCAATTGAAAATTTTAAATGATTTGATTTAAATCGTCCCAAACATGTCATGTAAAATGACATACCGGAAGCATACTTTAATCTAATTATACAGGGTGTCTTAAATAATTGCAAATATTTTCAGAGCTGGTAGATCTCGATAAAAGAAGCATTTTTTCTTTACCGTTGTTTTAAATAAATCCAAAATAACTGACATATTTTACTTTGAAAATTTGCAAAAAAATCTATTAATTTTTTGCCAAAATTTTGCTTGACCACTGCACTGGGTCTTTTCTGGATTTTCTTTCTTGTAAATTTAATCTACTAGCTATGATGCCGTATTATCAAGAAATTATGTTTTTAACTAACAGCTAAAGAAATCCAAAAAACATAAAAAAATTCCAAATTTTCAAAAAAAAAATTCGCGAAAAAAACCTCATCGTGTTTCTGGGTTCGAAATATACTACCTCTAAAAATATTCGCACTTATTTAAGACTTACACTGTATAATAAAGATACGCATAATGACGAAATCAAAATACATTTTTGTTATATACTTCATTGGACTTACCCTCACTATTCTATTCGAATTACCATAAATTACCAATAGGTTAGCACAAGCCAGTTAAAACCACGATATCGGTCGGCTTCCTTCGTTGAATATTTATGTCTTTTCACCGATTTTTCGCGACCATTTTCACCAATAGATGACCGCCGGCCGTTACAAAGACGACTGAATCCGAAATCGGTAATTAGATGGTACGAAACCGGTAACCCATTCGGTATTATCAGCGTGTGTCGGACATTTCGTACCCCGTTTTACAGTTACCTTTCTTGCCGGTGTCGTCTTTAATTCCGAAATTTATGGAAACTTGCAGGTGGGAATCGCAAAACTACCTTTACAGGGGTACTTTAAAAACTTCTCTATCTTTTTACGGTGTTTCATCAAGCCCCACTATCTGCTGTTTTTTTTGTGCGACGGAAGAATCTAATTATGGTTTTTAAGTAATTCCCTAATGAACAAGGTTAATGAAAAAACTTGAAAGGAGTTAGGAATTAATAGCATGTAGAAAATGTAGAATGTATGGAGAGGGGCTAATCACCTCGACTTTATAGATCTATTGTGAATTCCCCGTCCCCCTTTCATGAGTTATAACTCGTTATAACTCATCATACAGTCTCAGGGCTTTGACAATAGCCAGTAACTGCGACGGCTTCACAGACGTTACTTCTTCATCTCTGATATCAGTACCAAAGTTTATGGCACGAATGGTTGTCGTCTCGGTGCACTCAATGATGAGGTGTTTTGGTGTTTCCCCATTTTTCTCACAGAATCTGCATTCGCCGTTCTTTGTTAGCTTCAATCTACTGAGGTGTTCGTTAGTCGATCCGATTCTTCCAGGTTTTTGTGTTCCGCTTTAAATTGGTTTCCTCTTGGGAAGGGGGACGGTTCACAAGTGCTTCAGTTAGTTGAGTGTTCGTTCCTTTTCTAGCTAGGTGGTTTTTTTTCATTGTTTCCTATCTTTTAGTGAACTGTCACGCAGAGTAGCAGGACCTTATTTTCTTTGCCTAATTTGTTCAGCTTCTCTAGGTATTCTTTGACCAACTTCGAATTGATGGTTACTGAGTTGATCGCTTTTCGTACTGCTGGACTAGTGGATAAGATAGTTCCTATATAATTTGTACGCATTTTTCGATATCGTAGATTTCTATCCGATTTTGGAAGCATCAGTATACCACGTTTTGGTGAAGAATATACCAACATATCATATACCACGCTTTTACCTGTTGAGCAGTAGTGCAGCGTTTATATAGTGTTGCGAGCCGGTGTGGACTCGACCTAATCTCACAATATGGCCCGCCCTCGGATGACCTTAACATCGCATAGACACCGCAATGATTCATTCGTTCGAGAAGAATCGAGACCCACTAGAATGGACTAGTACATACGAGAACATGCTTAATATAGTTAAAGAAAGGAAAGTCTCATACCTCGGCCATATCCTTAGAGGAGACAAATATTACATTCCTAAGCTGATTCTACAAGGAAAAATAGAGGGACGGCGAGGCCCAGGAAGAAAACAACATTCCTGGCTAAGAAACATACGGGATTGGTGTAACATCAGCGACGCAGCCACCATATTTCGAAGAGCCGAAAACGGCACTCTACACATTGTATGAAGAGTAAAGACAATCGCCAACGTGCGGCTAAGCACAAGGCACAGGAAGAAGAAGAAGTTCTAGATATGACAATATGCAAAGAACAAGTATACAATGCAGATGAGTTCATCAAGATGAAAAATCATATCCATATTAAAGGATCGAAAGACCGATTAACTGTTTATACCATCATTTTCTAAAGAAATAAATTTAAGTATATAGCTCCAGTAATCCGGCCACCTCGATAATCGTGGTGTATGCCGGCACGATATCTGCCCGGACTACTGAAGTTATACTGTATGTCAGTGCGACAGCTGGACAAAAATGCTGTGCTCTGTACTAGAAAACGATAAGTCGGTGACAAATGTTATATTCAAGGCCCAGTCTCTTAATAGACTTTTTAAATAGGATACTAGTGGAGATTGTAATCTAGAGATTTGAATCTAATCTAATTGATCTATTGGACAAACAACGGTATGGAACCACTGTTGGTCCAAGTAGGAATCAGCTGTGCAGAATAGGTAACAGTTTTTTTTTTGGATCACACACATGAACTGGTATAAGGGAACAAATAACCTGTTTCTTGTAAACGTTAGGGGTTTCTTTATCGAAGAACAAGGAACAAGAATTACATTCTTTACAGAAGTCTAAAGTTACATTGAAATTAAACCGTTTCTCTTAACTTTTATTATCTTTCAAAAACGACTGAAGAACGGTGAAACGTAGGTTTTCTTACGCAGCACTATTTACTATATATTAATCTGTGAAAGGAAGGTCCTATATCGTAATAAATGCAGTTTTCTGAGTCAGTTTTTTTCAAATTCTGAAACCAAATTAAAATAAATTTTCTTCCCATAAATAGTTCAGTACCTACTTGTTGTTATAACCTCGTAATCAAAAACTAGTTTAAAAATTTACATATTTTAGAACGCGAGTAACATTTTTTAAATGGTCTCTTTATGTGTTCTAATGTAGACAATGTTTACATACTATAAAGTAAGTTGGTTAGTAGAGTATTTTTTTATGTTTTTAAATTACAGCAATTTAGAATAGTCCCAGTAATTCTCATTAGTACCAATTATTATACAGGGTGAGTCTTAAATAAGTGCAAATATTTTTAGGGGTAGTCGAGGGGGTAGTATATTTCGACCCCAGAAACACGATTATGAGTTTTTTTAGAAGTATTTGGCTAATGACTTGGTTAATGACTGTTTGCCGCTTAATCATGAATATTATAAGATATCAACCAGGTAATCAATTTTAATTATACCGGGTGCGTCTCAAAAGTGGCTCACCCCTATAAATTTTTTATTTTTTCAGATAATAAAACGAAATTTGGCATGTTAGTATACGACATAAAACAGGATTGATTGACGCAGTCATTTGTTTTCGGTCACTTCCGGTTTCACCGGAAATAACTACATTTTTTGTTTTTTACATGACACACTGTATTTTTTTTAGTTTATTCGATAGAAAATGACACTCTGAATAGAATGACATATCACATGTCAACTTTTCACATTTTCGCATATGGTTTATTTGAAATTATAACATGCGGTTCATAACGACAATTTGACTCGAAATACCAAGTGTGTGGTATCAAATTATGCGTAAAAAATGCTTTTTCCAAATATAATAATGAGCCATCCTCGTTCCATTTGAAGAAATTGAGAATGACTAAAAATACGATTTGTGTATCTTTTAACCAGCCAGGGACTAGAAACTAAAAAACATTAGACGATCGAATCTATTTTTTCAAAGTTTTTTTGTTAAAAATTAGTATTTTTAACACAGTCATGGCACTCTAGATTGACATTTACAATATAATTTGTTTTTAAGCGAATATGTCAAAAGTTAACATATGATATGTCATTCGATTCAGAGTGTCATTTTCTATTATCGAATAAGATAAAAAAAATACCGAGGGTGCCATTTATAAAAATCAAAAGTTGTAGTCATTTCCGGTAAAACAGGCAACGACTGAAAACAATTGAACACGTCAATCAATCTTAATTTATGTCATATATACTAACGTACCAAATCTCGTTTTTTATCTGAAAAGATAAAAAAATTATAGGGGTGAGCCACTTTTGAGACGCACCCGGTATATTGCGACAAATACAATAATTTTTAGGCAAATTCTAGGGAAAGACATGACACCAGTAGGGCATCTAGAGATTGAGTTTGGGAGGCGTATTATGGCAGTATTTAAAGTACTAAATTTAAATTAAATTTACGGTGAAAGAACTGGGGAAACAAACTTGGATTGGTCTGAATTTCCTATTTTAATTGGTATTATTAATTTCCTTTGTCACAATTTTATTTTATACTTCAAAACTGACTTACAGAGAAAACTTGGTTTCTTGGTTATGTCTTGGTTTAATGTTGCCTATAAATATCATCTTTTTAATTAGTATGAGTATAACTTTGAATGCGTTATTATTTGGACATTATTTGTTATGTTCAATTGCAATTTAGCATGCGTTTGGGTATTCCCAACACAGTTGGTTACTTAAAAATTCCTTTATCTTCTTTATTAATGTGTTCTTGGGGGAGGTAATTACTTCCGTTACCCTTCCCTGCTTGGCACATTACCTATATTTAAATGAGATATTGCTTTAAGTTTTCTTTCTAATGCAACTTACACAAAAAAGTGCTTAAAAATTTCCATGGATTATACAGGGTTGTTCACCACATACGATACGGAGTATTGTAGCTAAACGATGAGATTTTTACAAATTGTAAGTTTGGGGTTCGTTGAAGGAGTATTAGAGCTACAATTTAAAAATATTTTTACAAGATACAGAGTGTCCCAAATAAATAAAAAATATCAAAGTTGTATTTTTTTAAATGGAACACCCTGTATATTATTACATTTTTAGTTTCTACGATTAAAATAAAGGTAAATTTGATTAAGGTTTATTATACTTAAACCTTACCGTTTTTGAAATATATTTTTTTTTTCAATTTTGTGAAATTGCAGTAAAAATTTTAAAGCTTCATTTCTCCAAGGGTATCAATGTTTTTAATACTAAATATTTAATGAAGTTTATTTATTGATCAGTTATTGTGTTGCAATAATAAAAATAATACTCACCTTATACAGAGTGTCTAAAAATGTATTTTAAATAATTATTAGCTTAAACGGCAATAACTTCTTTAATTTAAATGGAATGCCCTGTATATTTTAGGAGAATCAGATGCACAATTAAATTGTCTATCAAATTGTATTATACCATTTTTTACCTATCCCTTCAAGTTTTCGTATAAAATGCATTTTCTTATAATTTAGACCTCATTTATCAATATATCAATGGAATATTGACATTTTAGATTGTTTTTAAAGCAACAAATGTACAAAATGTACAGACTAGTAATATTATCGTTTTTAGCAAAACGATAATATTACTAGCCCATTTGTATGCAAAAAGAAAACTATTTAAATCTTTATAAAAGAGTATACCATTAATTAAATATAACACCATTATTTGCGCCCATATACTAATTAATTACATACTTAATTGTGTTCGTTATTAAATTATTATAAATAAATGTGGATTTGAGTCAGAAATCA